GACCGGAAGACAAGGGGACAGAAGGGATCAGGGGCGGGGAGCATCCGTGGGTTGATGGGAAAAAGAGAAGAGACAGAAACGGTTGACGGTTATAGCCCCACGGGGAGTTGCTAGCTAGCCCGAGTCTTCCCTCTCCTCCCAACACCAGTCTCAGGCTCCAAGGAATCATTTTATAAAAAAAAGAAAATGGGCTTTTCCATTTAAACAACAAAGGCGTGTGAGTCCCTGAGACGGATCGTAGGTCAACCCTCCCCCACGCCCTGTCCAGTGTGAGCTTTTTGGTTTGAGGGGGAGGGGCGCTGGGTCGGAGATCCCTGAGTGGGGCACTCCCCCCCGGCCCGACCACTCATTAGAAGAGGGGTCCCCAGAGGCCGGAGTGGGAGGAGGCCGTGGTCACAGCCGCTGGAGCCGGGAGAGGAGGAGGAAGAGGAGAAGGAGGGGCAGGGGGAGGCCGGGCCTGGGCCTCGGGGCAGCCTCCCCGTGGGCGGGGCCTGGGCAGGTGCTGGGAGCCTTCGAGGCTGGTGGGGAGAAGAGAGGGGTTACACCCCGCCCGCTTCCACTCCCCTCTCTCTCTCCACGCCCCATTTCTTGCCCCTGGGCCCAGCCCCTACCCGCTGACCCTACATACCCGTGGCGCTGAGCAATTTGGGTAGGAAGCCATTCCAAAAGGCGCAGGCCTGGGCTCGTAGCCCCCGCCGCACCTCCAGAGGCCGCAGGTTTAGGCTCACGTACTGCTGCGATACCCCCGTGTACTGTGGCCACTGCGGGGCTTTAGGGTCCCGGGGGTCATTGGGGTCCCTGTGTAAAAAAAGGGAAGGCTCAGCCTCAGTCAAGCCTGCCCCGCCCTGAGGTTGGGGGATGGAGATGAAGAGGAGGCAGGTGCTCCTAGACCCCATGCCCTCTTAGCTCCAAGGGGAGCCCCATCCCTTCCCTCCCACTGTTGCTTTAACCCTTCTTTCTCTTCTCCGGTATCCCCTCATCATCTGGAGTCTTCCCTTTCTGTCTCTCCTCTCCATTTTCCTGTCCCATCGTTGTCTTTGTTTCTCTCATTTAAAAAATTGGTGATTTATTGAGCTCTTGTTATGTAACCAGGCCCAGTCCTATCTCTACAAACATCACATTTACTTTTGACAACACCCATGTGACATTGGATTTATTGTCCCCTTCTTCAGACAGGTAAACTCTGTGTGTGTGCACGCACACGCGTGTGCGTGCCAGATAAAATCACCAGTGATCTAATTGATCCAGCTTTACAGTTCACGCTCCTGACTGCTGTTGTAATTTTGTCTCTCCTTGTCCATCTCGTCTCTTTGCCTCCCTCCATTACTGTCCTTGATTCTTCAGGATCTGCCACCCCACTTTCTCCTTCCTTTCTCTCCGTTCTCCTTTGTCATTCTCTCCCCCTTTGTCTCCTTTCCTTTGTGAACTCTCCCCTCTCTTTCTGGCCCTTCCTCTCTGTCTCTGCTTGTCTTCCTCCCCCTTTCTCTTTGTCCTCCCAGCCTCCCTGGCTCCCGGAGGCCATCCGCCCTTTGGCACTGCTAACCCTGTGCGGGCGAAGTTGGCCCAGTATTTCATCAGCCGCTGGGCAAACGCTCTCTCCTCAATGGTGTAGTTTAGCGAGGGTTCCAGAGGAAGCCCAAAGATGAACTCGATCTCGTAGCCGTGGGGCACCCCCATCCAGAGGGGCCAGGAAAGCGTAGATGCACGATGTTCAAAGATGTAGGCATAGACCTGAGCACCCTGGGCGGCCAGTCGCCCAGCCAGTTGAACCACAGGGCACACGACATTGTGGTCACCCACCACATCACTCATGGCCTCCCTCAGGCGGGCTGGGTCCTCAGGGTGCAGCCAGTCTGTATAATGCAGGACCACAGCCTCGGCAGCCAGGTCACTCACCTGGGGGACCCCGACCCGCACCCCGGCCAGGAACTGGGCCCGGCTGATGAGAGACTCGTTGTCTTTGCTGAAGCCTGGGGCCCCGTAAACCAGAAAATAGGAGCCCTCATCCTTCACCACACCCACCAGCACCTGGGGGAACAGGATGAAGGAATGGGGTGGGGGTGGAGGCAGACACAGACAGACAGGCAGACAGAAACAGATGGACAAAGAGTCAGAGAGATGGACAGTTCCAGACCCAGAACCATGGAGGAAGAGAGTATGAGATTGGGGGACGGAGAGGAGAAAATATACCCACATTTTCTTTCCTCTCTGTCCCACTGGCCACCCTGGGATTGAGCCCTCAGGGAAGAGAAGCCTTTGCAAGTGGGTCTTGAGGAGCCCTCATGCCTGGGTCCCCAGGGGCAGGGTGGGAAAGTGGGAGAACAGGCATAGAGGAACCAGCTCTACCCCCTGCAGCCACTAGTCACCTGCAGGCCGTGGAAATCTCCAGCGTTGATGAGGGCCTCCGGGGTATCACTGAGGAAGTCTCCATCTACCACAGGCACAAAAGAGAAGCGGAAGACACTTTCCTGAGGCAGCACATGCCACTCGTGGTCTACCAGGTCCTGAGCTGGCCGTGTCCGCAGGCAGGCGACCAACTCTGTATCATTGCTACCAGCCCCACCTGGGGGGCAGCCTATGAGTCGAGCCAGCAGTGTGGCCCTGCGGCGGGCCTCTCCCATGGTCACCGTAGCCCAGGGCCCGTTGGGTGCACCGCTTTGCAACACAGCCCTGTGGAAGAGGTCCCGGCTGGGTGGGGACAGCAGGTGCATGCCCACAGAGGCAGCACCTGCACTTTCCCCAAACAGAGTCACCGACATCGGGTCCCCCCCAAAGGCTGCCACGTTCTCCCGTACCCATCGCAGGGCCAGCCTCTGATCCAGAAGACCCACATTGCCTGGTGCCTCCCGGCTCCCTGGTAGGGCCAGGAAGCCAAAGGCTCCCACCCGGTAGTTCATGGATACCAGCACAGTCCCCTCCGCCTGGGCCAGGAAGCGCCCATCATACACATCCAGCGAGGAGGCCCCACTGTAGAAGCCACCCCCATAGATCCAGACGAGGACAGGGGTGGGGGTCTTCGGCCGAGGGTACGGTGTCCACACGTTGAGGTAGAGGCAGTCCTCACTCAGCTCACGGTTTGGGTTCCACATCTCGGTGCCCTCAAAGCCAGGGTACAAGGTGTCCACGTATTGGTAGCAGACACTTTGGAAGGCTGTGGCATCTCGCACCCCTGGCCAGGGTCGCTTGGGCTCCGGTGGCAGAAAGCGACGGGGGCCTACGGGTGGCTCTGCGAAGGGGATGCCCAGAAAAGCAGAGACAGGGCCCCCAGGGGCCATTAGGCGGGTGCCCCGAAGCCGGCCCCCACGCACCATCACCAGCAGCTCCGGGTCCTCTGGGTGCTCAGCCTCTGCCCCTCCTCCCAGGAGGAAGAGGAGGAGGAGGAGGAGGAGAAGTGGGAACGGTGGGAAGAGAGTATGCTGGGGACACCATGGGGGCCTCATGGCTGCCAAGGCAGGCAGATGGCTGCCAAGGCAGGCAGGTGGCTGTTAGGAGAAAGAAAGGCAGAGGGTGAAGGCCTGAGGCTGCCAGGAGGGGATTAGATAACACTCTTGCCCAGGGGTTATCGCTAAGCTGCAGAGGAGGTGGGGCAGGTTGGCAAAGAGGAGAGAAATGGAGGGAAGGAGACAGACAAGCAGAGACAAGGACACAGGCAGACAGTGAGAAGCCGGAGGGGACAGATATCAGGCCCATACGCACCCAGACAGACAGATGTAAGGAACGGATGAGACCTGCCAAGCATGCCCTCCCTGACCCACAGAGCACCCACCGCCCTCACCTCCTTCCCCCCGCTGGGTGGGCTGGATTGGGCCCAGTGTGAGCCTTGTGGGCACCCGCACCAGAGGCTGCAGTCCACGCAGAGGCCACCCGACAGGGGTGGAGCCCTCGATGATGGGAGGTGCCAATGGGGGCGCGTGCGGTGGCGTGAAGGCACAGCCTCTCCTGCGTTGGCCAGGGCTGGGGCCCTGGAGGGTGGGTAGGGCATTCAGGGTGTGGGGGCCGCAAGTCCTGGGGCA